ATTAGGCTTCTTATGTTGGGCCTGGAGAGTGGGTGGGGCTTAATGGATGAAATACACCCTGTGTCCTCTTGGAGTCTACACTTGTTGCCCCCAAGACAGGGTTTGTGTAGCTCTGGCTGTCCTAGAACTTGCTCTGTAGATCAGGCTGGCCTCAAACTCACAGAGCTCCACTTGCCTCTGCCTCCCGAGTTCTGGGATTAAAGATGTGTGCCGCCACTGCCTGGCAGAGTCTACATTCTTATTTACGTGGAAGCATAAATAAACTGCTATGATTCGTAGACCAGATATTTCTCTGCCCTTGGTCCCTGTGATGAATGAATGCTTTCCTGTGCTAATGAGGTCAAATGAGACTTGTTTGTGTTAGAAATGACAGGAAATTTGAGCTATTTATAAATGAATGAAAAAAATCTGGAGGGACGGCCTTCAGACTACAGTAAACTAGCAAGCAAAATAAAACAAACATAAAATATGTTTTTTTTTTTTTTTTTGCATTTTCTTTTTGTTCTGTGGCTTTCCCCCTACTTTAAGTTAGAAATAGTGAGAGCGGGGCAGTGGTGGCAGAGGCAGGAGGATTTCTGTGAGTTCGAGGCCAGAAGGCGTTCCAGGACAGACTCCAAAGTTACACAGAGAAATCGTCTCAAAAAACCAACCAACCAACCAACCAACCAACCAACCAACCAACCAATAAATAAATGTGAGAGAATAAGTTGTATGAAAAGAAATGCATTGCTCAAATCTGTGTGTTCTTACAGTAACCCTGGGAAATGCAGGAGACACTGAGAGGCATCTGTTGATTTCTGAAGCCCAGGGTTCTATGTTCTGTATTGTTGCTAAATCCGTGTTCAGTGGGTGATTAAGTCAGTAGGATAAATTTAAAAGAGCATACCTTTATATAAATGTGAAGAGTAAGCTCGTGGGTGCACACATGTTTTGGTGGTGGTGAGTGAAGCCGGCTTTCTGCGTGGGAGCACCGCAGTTCCCTGTAGTTTCCTATAGTTCCCTGTAGTTCCTTGTGGCGCCTGTCCTGAACCCTGGCTTCTCCATAGGCTGGAAGAGCTGCAGAGCTTCCTCTTGTATAAAAACAAGCTGACCTACCTTCCTCAAGCCATGCTCAACCTGAAAAAGCTCACCTTGCTGGTTGTCAGTGGGGATCACCTCGTGGAGCTCCCCACTGCCCTCTGCGATGCCTCCACACCTTTGAAGTGAGTCCGTGGTAAGGGGAAGGGCATCCTGGGACACAGGCTAAAGCCAGCCAGCAGCCTCTGGCTCCAGACTGCTGTCTTAGCAGCCTGATTGGGTGATCCTCATATGCCTGAGAATCTAACCCTACTCCGCTTTCTACAGTAATTTGAAGGGCTTTGTTTTGTTTGTTTGTTTGTTTTTCACGCGCTCTGAGTAGTACACATCATTGCATTTCCGGAACTACAAAAATCACTTGCCAATGGACAGCATGAGGTGGGGACAAAGGCTAGGTCTCTCACCTGTTTCTCAGCTGTCACATCCCTGCTGCCCTGGGTAGAACACAAACTGTTTAAGGAACCCTCTCTGTTTGCCTCATCGTTCCTATGTCCCTCGGTGAACCCCAAGACAAAAGCAGCCATCCATGCAGAGGTGATACAGACTTCAATCTAGGGTGAAGTCTTGCTTACTCCCAAATGGATGGAAAGATGACATGGCAAGAGACTGTGCCCCCAGAAACCTTTGCATATGTCTTCATTTATCATTATGAAGAGATCAAACGCCAAATTCTTAGATGTTGTGATGTGAGCAAGATAAAGGGAAAATGGGATTCTGATTGGCTGATTCATATCTTTTAATTTCTATTAGACAGGGTCTCACGTGACTCAGCCACTATGTAGCCAAGGCTGACCTTGAAAATCGCATGCTCCTGCTTCCGCCTCCCAGGAATTGGGATGGTAGGCGTGCACACTTTATGTGGTCTAGGATCAAAACCAGGACGTTGTGCATGCCTAGGAGGCACACTGCCAACTGAGACACACCCCCAGTCTCTGGGTATTGATTATAGAAAAATAATGACTGGTGGCTGCATGGGGCTCAGTGGAAGAATGAAAAAAGAATGACCAGATAGGCCAATTAAAGGAACCCCTGCTTCAGAAAAAAAATCCTCACATTCTTTAAAAGTTGATAAAAAGAAATCAGAGTGATTATCTATGCATATATATTCCTTTGTTTGTTTGTTTAGAAAGGGCCTCTCTCCATACCCAGCCTACCTGTCCTAGAACTCATCATGTAGACCAGGTTGGCTTCAAACTCACAGGGATCCACCTGCCTCTGCCTCTTCTATCTTTATATTTTATGTGTGTGAATGTGTTTGCTTGCTTGCCTGCATGCATGTATACCTGGCATTCTCATTGGTCAGAAGAAGGCATTGAATCCCCTGGAATTGTAGTTATAGATGGTTGTGAGCCAGCATGTGGATGCTGGAAATTTAACCTTGTTACGATTTGGTTTTCCACCAGCCTGGTCCAACAGCTGCACCATCCGCAAATAGCACACAGAGACTTTATATTAGATATAAAGCTGTTGGTCTGTTACTAGCATTTTTTAGTGGCTAGCTCTGTCTTAAAGAGTAACCCATTTCTATCAATCAAAGTATTTCCATGTGGTCTTATCTTACTGGAGAGAGGATCCGGAGTTCTACCCTGTTAGTCCTACATGTTGAAGCTCTCCTCCCTCTCCCCGAAACCTCCTTGTCTCCTAGTCCCACCTATCTTGCTTTCCTATTGGCCAACAGTGCTTTATTCACTAACCAATAAGAGAAACATATTTACAGAATGACATCTCCCATCATAACCCTGGTCCTGTGGAAGAGCAGCCAGTGCTTTTGACTGCTGAGACATCTCTCCAGCCCACTGAAGAGGAATTTCGCAGTTGAGGGTTCACAGTAAACATGTGCTACTTTACATTCTTTCCCCAACAGATTTATAAGCCTTGTGGACAACCCTATTGATAAGACCCAATGTGAAGACAACGATGAAACAATAGAAAGTGAACAGGACCGCCAGCATTTTGATAAAGAGTTCATGAAAGCATATATTGAAGATCTTAAAGAAAGAGGTGAGGTGGGAGTATTTAAAACCATCTAAAATGTATTATACAACCTCCACCTGCTCATGAAATGCGTACATCAATGTAAGGCAAATTAACAAAAAAAAAAAAAAAAAAAAAATTTGTGACCATTTGTGAACCAATGATGCATTTTCTTAGAACGACAGGCTTTTTTTTTCTCTCATTTTTATTAGTTTTTTGAGAGTTCATACAATGTAATTTGATCATACTTACCCCTCCCTTCACTCCTCCTGGGCCCACCCACCTTTCTTACCTGGCTTTGTTTTTCTCTCTTGTTTTAAAAGCCCATCAGGTACAGTGGGTGTTGTCCATATACTCTGGGATGTGTGACCTTCCACTAGCATGGCAACCCAGCAGGGGCTGTACCCTTAAAAAAAACTGACTCTCCCTTTCCCAGTAGTCCCCAGTTACCCCCTTAGCTAGGGGTGTGTCTATGCTGGGATTTTGTCTGGCCTGATTTTACACAGGTATCCTGTATGGAATGTGAGATTTTCCTAGCATACTTCATGCTTGGTACATATATCAACTGTATGACAGAACATAGATCCTGAGAAACACACAAGTTGTGGAGGTTGTATTACTAACTATGTAACCTTTAAATTAAAAGAAAACTATTATTTGTGTGTGTGTGTGTGCCTGATGTGGGAGGGTGGGGCTCGTGTGCTTAGGTGTGCACAGGTGTGCACGTGTGCATGTGGAGGTCAGGGGAAAACCTTGTGGAGTTCATTCTTCTGCCTCCACGTGTTGTAGGAGGAGTCAATCTCAGATCACCTCATTTGCATGGCTGAGTGCCTTTATCCACGGAGCCACCTTGCCTCCCTGTAAATGACCTTCAAGTTAATTATGTTGACAAAAGAGTATTCTAAGTTAATAGGAAAATAAGATTGCATTTCAAAATTGACTTACAGATCTGAAAACGTCAATTCATCCAAGCCAGACTCCTGTATAAATGTCACAAAAAAAGGAGAGCACAGTTGGCCAACCAGGGAACGGCCCGCTCAGGCTTGTTTTCCACAGCACCTTGTATCCTGAGGAGTGTAGGTGATCAGATAACTCAGGAAAGGCTGGCAAGGGTTTTTTTTCCTTGAGTTCAAACTCAGGGTCTTGTTCTCTACTACTGAGCAACACCTGCAGTCCACAAACGGACCATTTCTTATGGTCGGCATAGGCCATCAGCCTGACTGGAGAGGGAGAAAGTAGACACTAAGTACTGGGAGGAGCGAGGCTGAGTGTGTTTGGCAAGGACATGCTTGGTTAGAAATAGCCCTGATCTCTCGTAAACCACATCTTCCCCCACCTTCCCGTGTCCTCTACCACCGATGTGATCAGCTTTTATCATTATATGCTCATAACAGTTTCCAGAACCAAGAGCATAGCTATGTGAGATGATTGGAAAGATTGTAAAAGAAAGAGGGTAAGTGTTAACAGCTTAGATCTAAACACTTCTATACTTGGCTACCCACTGGTGATGTCTCAGACATTCTCCCTATGCTTAAAATATGAAGCGTCAATGGCAGCCACTACATTTCATAATTAATAAGAATGAATTAATAAGTGGCTGGAGAGATGGCTCAGAGGTTAAGAGCACTGGCTGCTCTTCCAGAGGTCCCTGGTTCATTTCCTAGCAGCTCACAATTGACAGTAGGTCCAGTCCCAGGGACTCAGACACCTCATTCTTACCTCCAGGGAATGTACATGGTGCACATACATACATACACACACACACACACACACACACACACACACACACACACACTGGCAAAGCACACACATAAAATGAATTAATTAAAAAGAGTGAATGAGTAGCTAAGTATGTATTTTTCTTTATTGCAGAAGCTGTTCCCAGTTGTACCACCAAAGTGTCATTCAGCCTTCAGCTTTAACCTGGTCCACCTGAAGACCACAGAATCTTACTGTCTCTTTGTATATGGATTACATCTTACAGGAACTGTGGCTTGTGCTGAAGGACAAAGTCTAGAAACTACCATCATCACTGTTAAGAAAAATAATTTTCAAATTTCAAACATGGGGCGACTGATGGATTTGTTTATGCACTGATAATATTAATAGACTAATTTGCACATACCTGTTCTAAATAATGCTTACTTCATATTTTAGGAAATATGTTCTTTAAAAAACACAGCATATAGAATGAGTTTTGAAATTGGATGCAGTATTTTCAGGAACCAAGGACTAGAGGGTTGTAAATGGAATAGGATTTACCACCTTGAAAATGTTCCAGTATACTATTTATTTTTATTGAGAACAGTCTTCCTTGAGTATAAACAAGTTGCTATCTCCACATTTTAAATTCATTCTGGTAAGTCCTTTTTTTTTTTTTTAAATTTGTTTTTAGTTTTATGTTCATTGATGTTTTGACTGCCTGTATGTCTATGTGAGTGAAGGTGTCAGATCCCCTGGAACTGGAGTTACAGACAGATGTGAGCCACCACGTGGGTGCTGGGAATGGATCCCTGGTCCTCTGGAAGAGCAGCCAGTGCTCTTAACCACTGAGCCATCTCTCCAGGCCTGGCAAGTACATTTTAAATTGTATTTACACTCTCAGGAGAGACTAAAGGTATGATTTGGGTCTGGAGGGTGGAAAGAAGTGTTGGTACATGTAGTGCATTGGGCACGTGATGCTCAGGTGGTGTGGGCTTGGGAAGGTCTCAATGGTGTGTATGGGGAGCCGTCCTGTCCTGACTGGGCATCTGATGGTCCTGGGACATCAGAACAAAGAACAGAGGCAATACCCTCAGGGCTCATCCCTGTAGGTGGCCTGGGGACTGAGAGGTGCACACTGATGGCCACCTAGAAAGACTTCCATGTGGGAAGCAGGAGGGCTCTGCTTACTGGAGAGCAGCCCTGGGTGGGGCGTGAAGGAGCCCTGGGATGTTAGTTTGCCTTGGCAAAGGCAGGCTCTCTTTCGGACTCTCTGCTCTTGCATCACATTACAGCACTGGAAGAATTGTATAAAGCTTCTATTTTTATACTAGTGTCTTATACTAAAACAGACAGGAAAGTGGCTGGTTGTCTTGAAGACAGGAGAGAAAATGCACATGTATGTTGTGAGATGTGTTTGTATGAGTGGACTCCCCCTGGTTAGTCCAGCGCCGCTGCTACATCCTTTGCAGTGGAGAAACATTCTGAATTTGTGTTGTCAGATGCTGTGACATCCAGGCATGGAACACTGGATGTCTAAAGACCCTCGAAAACTAATTTTCAAATGCAGTTTACTTAAATAGCCACTTGTGGCTACCATACTGTACAGCAAGGCCTAACCTGTTTGATTGGTTAGGGAAGAGGTTATCTGGGATTTAAAAGGGGGGGGGGGAGGGGAAGGGTTTACTTTTTCTTACCTGAAAAACTGATTTGCTCCCAGAATGATATAATTTTAAAATGTCACTACATACACACACTTAATTAAAACAAAACGAAACAAGACAAAAACCCTAAAACAAAAGGGTTACTAGGCCTCGGAAATGGCTCAGCAGTTAAAGGTATTGCTACCAAAATGTAAGCACCAGAGGAACCCATGGAAATGTTAAGTGGGCACAGTGGCCCACCTGCAATTCCAGTCCTAAGAAATAGAAACAGGGTGTATTTGGAGAAAATTGGCTAGCTAGCCAAACCCACAGGAGCTCTTTCTTGTTTTGAATAGGAAACCCTAGCTCAGTGAATAAAGCAGAAAAGATGATAGAAGATGATTCAAACTCAGGAAAGTGGCTGGACTCAGGACTCTCCATACACACACACACACACACACACACACACACACACACACACACACGCCCTACACACAGAGAAAATGGAAAGAAGATTAAAATTGGTACCTTGGTATTTTGCCTGTGTCAAGTTTGGATTAAGGGCAAACATTTTTATCCATAATAGACATAAAACAGGTAGCGCCCTGCAGTCACATGGAGATGGTTGTCTCAGTAGAGGGTTACTTCAACTAAAAGCAAAACAAGGGGAAGTAGGCTAAAAGATGAAGAGTCAAAAAAAAAAAAAAAAAAAAAAATGGGGACTCGCTTTAAATTTCATGCCTTTCAAATTGAAGAGTTGTCCCATTTGGATGACCTCAGAATTTTATTTCATACTCAAGTACATGTTTTATGCCAAGATGTGAAAGCTGTATGTGTAAAGGCAGAAGTGTAGAATTTTGCACAAATAGACTGTTCATAATTTATGTAAGTTTTATTTCAATAAAAGCCAGCCTTTTGTGTAAAAAACCTTGTCCCGTGTGTGTGTGTGTGTGTGTGTGTGTGTGTGTGTGTGTGTGTGTGTGTGTATGTGTATGCATGCGTGAGCACACATGGGTACATGGGTGCCTGTGCTGATTTGTGAGGAGCCCAGAGGTTGGGGTGGGGTCTTGACTTCACCACTGTGGTGTTTACTCCTATTGTTACTATTGAGGCAATCTCTCTCTGAGCTTGTACATTTCTCTTTTGGTACACTGGCTGGCCAGTGACTCCCTATAAGCAGTCTGTCTCAGGGCCCCAGTGCTGGAGGGACTACACGACTCCACACCCTGCTTTTCACTGGTGCTGGACTTTGTACCTGAGCAGCATTTCCTGTTGAGGCATCTCCCTAAGTCCCCAAATGGACTTGTAAACGCATCCCTCTCCCCAGGATCTTTTCCCCATCGCAGAGCAGCTGCATGCACCTCCATGGTGATTGTTTGAGAACCCAGATGTTCAGTTACTGCTTCCGTCTCCCACCCTCCCAGACTGACAGAGGGTATGAGTAAAAGTTGCTGAGATCACCGGTTCAAGACTTCCAAATGGATCTGAGTCCTCAGCTCTTCAGATTCCAGTTCTTTATGATAGGTCAAAATCATATATATATTTAAATATATTCAGGTGGGAGTCATAAAAAAATTAACTGTCTGCTGAGCATCATGGCTCATATCTGAGATTCAAGCACTTGAGAGGCTGAGGCAGGAGGATTGATATGAACACGAGGCTAGCCTAGATTATCTAGTAAGTTCCAGACCAACTTTGACTACATAATGAGATCTCAAACCTACCCCAACTTGCCCCCATGAGGGAAAAAGTATAGAGAAGAAAATGAACTATCTTCAGATGAAAAATTCAGTGGCTTTTACTGCACTGACGGTGTTAAGAGACCACTATTATCTCCATCAAATTCCCAAACATTTTCATCACCCATTCTCCACAAAATCCACATTGATTAAACAGTGGTTTTATATTTTCCCCTTTCTCCAGTCCTGGTAGCCACCTGTGGACTCTACTGACTTTATTGACATTTCACATAAAGGGGTTACACAATGTATGATTTTTTGGGGATGTTGTAATTTTGTTTTCCACTCAGCATTCTTTTTTCAAGGCTCACATACCATATTTTATGTAAAGTATCACAACACCAGCGATGAAGATTAGGAAGACCAAACGTTGGCACAGTCTATACGACATGCAATAACCGAAGCCCTTGCAGCAGGCCAGGCAGCTTTGGCCAAAGCACTGGCAGAAGCACTCCCAGCACTGGCAGAAGCACTCCCAGCACTGGCAGAAGCACTCCCCGCAACCCTCACAGCAAGCTTTGCAGCAGGAAGATTCACTTGGTGGCTGGGTATGGCTGCTTCTCTCTACCTGGTAAGTAGAGTGTGTTGGTGGACTCCAAGAACTGCGCACAACGCGTGAGGGAGTAGCTGCAGCGCGTGGGGACACAACAAATGAGGGAGTGGGTGGGGCACATGAGGAGGAAGTGGGTGGGGCACATGAGGAGGAAGTGGGTGGGGCATATGAGGAGGAAGTGGGTGGGGCACATGAGGAGAAAGTGGGTGGGGCACATGAGGAGGAAGTGGGTGGGGCATATGAGGAGGAAGTGGGTGGGGCACATGAGGAGAAAGTGGGTGGGGCATATGAGGAGGAAGTGGGTGGGGCACATGAGGAGGAAATGGGTGGGACAAATGAGGAGAAAGTGGGTGGGGCATATGAGGAGGAAGTGGGTGGGGCACATGAGGAGAAAGTGGGTGGGGCATATGAGGAGGAAGTGGGTGGGGCATATGAGTAAGTAGGTGGGACAAATGAGGAGGACGGGGACAATGCCTTTTGGGTCTTGGACCTCGCCTTCTTGTTTCCCACGTCCGCTGTTCTGCTGCTCTTGATGGGAGAAGGCATTTGAATGACACATCTAGAGGTAAGTGAGCTTACTAGTGACAACTGTTGGGTTGTCAATATCATAGTTGATGGGCTTGAGGTGTGGCTAACCTTGCGGTCGGCTTTGGTAGGGTTATTGATTTTGGGGTCCACGTTTGATGCTTGGGGCTTTCCCACTATAGAGGAGGGCTGTGAGCAGGGAACGTTGCTGCAAGTCGCAGTGACCTTAGGCTCCTTAGTTGACTTAGAGAAGGTGGGAGACAACGGGCCTGCTAGTGGTTTTGAGGCTAGGCCTAAGCCCCTCTGAGTACAAAAGCCTTGCAGACATGCCTCACAGTTGTTGCTGTCGTGTGGTCCTTCGAGACTGGTGTCTGCAAGCAAAGGGATCTCACCCATTTGCTCAAAACCTTCTCTGTAGCACTTCTTCAGAATTCTGAAGAGCAGATTGTTCAAGATCCTTGAGATGTTGTCCCACGTGAACTCCGGAGCCATAAATGGAGCCTTAGGGCACTTGTTGCATCTCTGAGCAAAGGCCCTCATCTTCACCTGTCCCTTGCCCATCTTCTCACACCAGAACATGTGGAAGACCATCAGGACGCAGCCAGAGGCCCAACTTCGAGAGCAGGAGGAACAGCAGAACCTGCGGAGAGGACCAGGGTTTCAGCCAGGCTGCGGGCAGGTACCAGAGGGAGGACTTTCTCACTAGCAGGGAGAGAAAGGAACGGAGCCTCTCTTCCTCATCTCCACCATGTCACCAACGTGCCCTGTAACCGCTGTCAAATGCTTACCGTGTTCTAAGTCCAGTGTGTACTTTACAGAGGCAAGGAACCACATGAGACCTCATCACACTCCACCCAACTCAAGAGCCAGGACTGGAGCTCTGGTACCTGAATCTTAAGCCATTGCTTCTTCAAACATGGTTGTAAATGTGTTCAAGGCTATACACGCAACAGCCCCCCAGGGACCCTGTGCTGAAATGATCAAGTGGGTCAGGAGAGAGCTGCAATCTCCTGCCTCAGAGACATGCAGCCTGTTTTTGTTACTCAGGCGCTGTGGTTTGTAGGATCCCCAGAGATCAGAGCCCCCTGCTAGCTCTTCTTTTGTGGCTCCCTCTTCCAATACATTCATTGTCTTACACATACCAGAGACTTTTACACGGTTTATGAGTGCTTGTCTCCAACAACACCCCGTCTCAGCAGAGAGCAGTTTCCCTGAGATTTGCACAGATACCTGTTAGGGACAGTGAAGAAAGAACACAGAAAACCTGTGCTGCCTACAACAGGGGAGACATCTATCCCTCATCAAATGATCCATGAACTAACTCCCTCTTGATTCAGTCAGCTTGGGGCCATGGAACCTGTTGGCCATGGGACTTGCACAGCAGTAAGATCTCCTTTTCCGAGACTCCAGCCCTCTCTGCCTAGGTAATCCTGGGAAATGTTTGTTCAGTTAAATCCTGTTTTGTATTGTTTTTGTTTTGTTGTTGATTTTTTCTTTTTTTCTTTTTTGGTTTTGATTTTGTCCATATCAGGTTGATCCCAACTTTCCTTGGGACATGGGCATCTGCAGTCTGAGGGTAGGGGTTGGAGGAGGCTTGGCAGAATGAGGAGGCTCGTGCATGCTGAGTAAATGTACCGCTGAGCTACAGTCCCAGACCCCTCTTTTCTGCTTCATCTTAGCCTGTCCTCTTGGGGCAAATGTGGAAATGAACTAAGGTGAGGAGACACTGTCTGGGAACTCTCCCTCAGTTCTGCACAAGGGCCTGAGCTGTCCTGAGCTGCTGCCCACAGATGTGGCTTGGTTTTGGTACTATGGTTCCACTGTGCGCCAGAACAGAATCCTGGGCTCTCAAATAAACAGACTAAGGCTTTGCTCTGGAGTTTCCCAAGTCAGCTCCTGCCTGGGAAAGATCTAGTCCTCTCACAGAGGACAGCAGGCGTGACAGACATCAGGAGTCTACCCACTGTGCCCTCCTACCTCCACCCATAGGCCTTGGAGCACCCACTTTCTCTGGAAAGAGAGGGTAAAATGTTGGGTGGCCGATAGAAAGAATCTATTGGCTCATAGTAGACAGGGATACAGTTGCTTTGCTGTGAGCTGATTTGGACCGCAAACCTGTGTCCGTCTGAGGAGTCTCCTCAATGTAAACCTGTCTCTTTCCAAGAGCTCCAGAAAGAGAGAGTCGAGGCAGGGGGAAAATGCAGAGCCCTAGGGTAAATGGACCTCCATCCTCCCCTTTCTCACTGTCCAAATTCCCAGCAGGACTTCTTACTAGTCCTGTCAGTGTTTTAAGTTCATAGTAATGGGGCAGGGATCCCCAATCTCTAATCAAACTGGAATTCCTTCCTGTATTCTTCAGCGTGCAAACCTGGACAGAGGAGAAACAAGCAAGGACCTTCTGGCACATGGACCATCGTTGCTCCCTCACCTGGCAAAGGTCTTTTGCTGGTATTGAGTCCATCCTGGCTTCAGAACATCAGGAAGAAGGTCCTTGTCTGGCACGAGGGTCCATTTGTGCCATGGCTTTACCTCCTGAATCAGCTCCTGGAACACCTGTTGCCATACTTCTACATCTTCCTCCATCATGGCTGCAGCGCTGTGCTTAGGCTGGGGCAGGGTCTCCTGAGTGAGGGCAGGGTCTCCTGAGTGGGGGCAGGGTCTCCTGAGTGGGGGCAGGGTCTCCTGAGTGAGGGCAGGGTCTCCTGAGTGGGGGCAGGGGCTCCTGAGTGGGGGCAGGGGCTCCTGAGTGAGGGCAGGGACTCCTGAGTGAGGGCAGGGACTCCTGGGCTGGGGCAGGGGCTCCTGAGTGGGGGCAGGGGCTCCTGAGTGGGGCAGGGGCTCCTGAGTGAGGGCAGGGTCTCCTGGGCTGGGGCAGGGACTCCTGGGCTGGGGCAGGGACTCCTGGGCTGGGGCAGGGACTCCTGGGCTGGGGCAGGGTCTCCTGGGCTGGGGCAGGGTCTCCTGGGCTGGGGCAGGGACTCCTGGGCTGGGGCAGGGACTCCTGGGCTGGGGCAGGGACTCCTGGGCTGGGGCAGGGACTCCTGGGCTGGGGCAGGGACTCCTGGGCTGGGGCAGGGACTCCTGGGCTGGGGCAGGGGCTCCTGGGCTGGGGCAGGGTCTCCTGAGTGAGGGCAGGGACTCCTGGGCTGGGGCAGGGGCTCCTGAGTGGGGGCAGGGTCTCCTGAGTGAGGGCAGGGACTCCTGGGCTGGGGCAGGGTCTCCTGGGCTGGGGCAGGGACTCCTGGGCTGGGGCAGGGTCTCCTGGACTGGGGCAGGGACTCCTGGGCTGGGGCAGGGTCTCCTGGGCTGGGGCAGGGTCTCCTGGGCTGGGGCAGGGTCTCCTGGGCTGGGGTAGGGTCTCCTGGGCTGGGACAGTCTCCTGAGTGTCTCAGGGTCTTCTGGGTGGGGCAGAGTCTCCTGAGCTCAAACAGACCTGTGTCAGGAGGTAAGGTTGTCCTCTTCAGGGAGTGGGGGTTCAGGCTGGCAGTCCCCCAAACTTGAATTGGGACTGTGGTTCAGATCCTTCTGTCCCAGGGACAAAGGTCAGTTGATTCTCTTCCCAAGTTCAGAGGACAGCTTGGGGAACTTGGAAGTCTGTGTCTCAATATACTAGTTAGACTCCAAATCAGGTGTGAGCTGCCTCTGGCACAGAGCCCCTGGAGGCAGAAACCATACTTGCATTTCCTGGTTCTAACATTCAAAAGTTTTCATCTACTGAGCTGCTGGAGCCCTGCTTGGGGCAAAAGGGTCCTCCCTGGGATGCCCACACCCTGTGAAGTCCTCATTTAGACCTAGTTCCTCAGGAGGATGGTGAGCTGCAGATACCCGGCTGCCCCTGCCTACCACCCATAGCCTGAGCAGAGGTCTCCGGTCCTATTCTCCACTTACCGAAGATCAAAGTTGATATGGCCCGGGGAGATTAGGTGGTGTGTCTCTAGGTGGGTGGGAGTCTGCTGGCCCGAGACCAACAGGAATCCATTGCCTTCCTCCACGAGGTGGGCAGTGTTAGAGCAGGCAGCACTGTGGTGGTAGCCGAGAATGTTTACACCACAAGACTCAATCTACAGAGAGGGTGGGTCTTCCTGCCACCCAATTGGACATTGATGTTTCCCAGGCTGCAGGCCCAGCGTGGAAGAAAGGAAGGAAGCAAGGGGAGGGGCTTTCTATGACGTTTGGAAACCAAGCTTTCCCGGGCTTCTCTCCACTGTCTCTGCTCCAAATCACAACAACCTCATGACCAGACTCAGATCACGATGGCCCTGTCCATCCTGCCCTCATTTAGTTTCTCAATGTTATTTACTCAGTTATAAATTAACCACATTTGGGGAGGTGGTTCAGTTTCTTTTTCTCTCCCCCCCCCTTTCAACTTTTTTTTTTCCCCCAACTTCTTTGGCTATGTTGTGTTTACCTGTGATCTGCTTGCTTATTCTAGCTTATAAAAAACAGAAGTTCTCTCTTTGTGGTCAATGGTGCCATGCTTAGGAGAGGGCCATTCAGAGGCAGAAGCAGAGACTAGCTTTGAATCGCCGCGAGGAAAGGAACGCTTGGAACCTGACCAGCCAGGCAAGAGAAGTTCCTCCCTGGGGCCTCTGGAGGAATGGAAGGACTGCCGGCCGACAGCTTGCCTTTGGACTTCTGCCTTCCAGAACTGTGAGAATAAATCGTTCTGGTCTTAAACCTTTCGGTTTGTAGTCTAGTTGTGACAGGGGACAGGAGCAACAGATACAGACTCATATTCTATTTTATAAGGGCACAATTGCATTTCATATTGTAAAGGAATCTGCACATACACATCGCAGATGGCTCAGCATGGGCACCTGCCAAAGATTTATTTGTTCTAAGTTAACCTTTGGGAGTGCCGGGAGTCCATGAGCCCAGCTTCACAGAGAGAGACAGTGACGAGGGAGATGAATGGGGACCACAGGGAGCTAAGGGGACCAGAGCCCCAGAGCTCGAAGCCAGTTGATCTCCAACCCCCACCCCCAACAAGAGGACAGAGACTACACTGTAGAACTGGTTTTCGTTGCCATTCCCTGTCAATCTCTTAGCAGGAAATGAGGCTTCAAGCGGGGAGGGGCCTCATTTCCTCTTGCGGCGTTTCTTTAGCGCCCTCTACCGAGAAAGCTCAACAAGCTGTTCCCTGGAGGCTCACAACCACCAATAACTTCAGTTCCAGGAGATCTGACCTCCAAGGACACCAGGAATGTATGTGGTGCACAGATACACATTGAGGCGAACGCTTGTACACATAGGATAAAAAGAAATCCTTAAAAATGCTTTTATTAGCACATGCTCCTTATACACGATAACTCATTTTATTATGATACATTCATATGATACATTCATAGATGGGCAGTCATTGCCTCGATGTCTTTAGTTGCTTACCCTCTGCTGAGCCCACTGTTCTCCAGGAACCTTGGTTCTACTTTCTACGCCGCCCCCCCCATGTGTACCCCAGTGTCATTCATTAGGGTTGTTTACAGGAGGGTGGGTGGGAGCTTGCACACTGGGGCATGTGCACATTACCAGGAGAAGAGAGATTCTAAACAGATGTGTGTGTCCCTCCCTCTGGCTAACAGGCTGTTGAAGTAGGAATACTAATACAATAGGTCCCACAGAACAAAAGCCTCCCCAGGAATCCCAGTCACAGGCCTGGCACCAGCAAAGTGCTCAGAGGGAGGTTGTTCTCTAGGACAGCTTATTATGCTAAATTAGCATATCATTAACATACACTAAATTAACACACACAGTCCTTAGCTCTTGGTTCATCTTTTTTGTAGAATGTAAACACTGGTTTAGGAGAGGTAGAGAGAAATTAGGAGGTTTTCTCTTCCTAGTTTGACCAAACTATATGCAAACCTGTTTTTGCTTTGTTGTTTTGTTTTATTTTTGTGTTTTAGAGACAGGGTTTCTCAGTAGCTTTGGAGCCTGTCCTGGAACTCACTCTGTAGACCAGGCTGGCCTGAAACTCAGAGAGATCTGCCTGTCTCTGCCTCCTGATGCTGGGATTAAAGGCCTGTGCCATCACCACCTGGTGCAAATCTGTTTTTTCTTATCAATCTTTGTTGTCCAATTTCTTTAAAAAAATATAAGGAAGCTACCAGGTGCTGGTGGCACACACCTTTAATCCCAGCATTTGGGAGGCAGAGGCAGGAGGATCTCTGTGAGTTTGAGTCCACCCTGGTCTACAGAGCTATTTCTAGGACAGCCAAGGCTCCACAAAGAAACCCTGCCTTGAAAAACCAAACACACACACACACACACACACACACACACACACACACACACACACGCTCTCTCTCTCTCTTTATACATATATGTATATATATATATATATACACACATATATATTATATATGGTGATGGATTTATGGATACAAGTACAGTATCATCAAGAAAAAAGAAATTTCCAGTCTATTATAAATAAACTCATGAGAACATGTGGCTTACTGTTAGTCAAAATATTGATTTATATACACAGGGTGAATATACATATTTATAATTAAAAAATATGTATTATGTATACAAATTTCTGCCTGCATGTATGCCTGAATGCCAGAAGAGGGTACTAGATCTCATTACAGATGGCTGTGAGCCAAAAAGTGGTTGCTGGGAATTGAACTCAGGTCCTCTGGAAGCACAGCCAGTGCTTTTAACCTCTGAGCCTTCTCTCCAGCTCCTACATATCCATAAATAAAATATTATTTATTTATTATTGTGTTATGACTCAGAAAGTAACATTAAAGAGTTTTTTTTTTTTTTCTTTCAGTCTGGGGCCTGGGAATGTAACTCAGGTCATCAGATTTGGCAGCAAGTGCCTTTACTGAGTAGACTCGCTGACTTGCAGATATCTATAATTTAGTACATGTATCTGTATATATGTGTGTGTGTGTATACATATATACACACACACACACATACCCTTTCCCTCTGTTTGTTGATAGGTCCTAGAAATAACAGCACCCCAGAAGCAACAAACACACAGCATTGCCTCTTTGTTTCTAAACACTGTTTCCTGACAAAAGGAGTGAAGATGCCTTTGAGAAATTGCTGATTCTAGGGCTGGGTCAGGGGGAGCAGAGCCTGGTGGGGGGGAAGTTCCTGGAAGAAAAGAAGATTTGGGTATAGTGTGCACATATGTAATCCCAGCACCCAGGAAGCAGAGACTAGAAGTTGGCTGAAAGTTTGAGGCCAGACTTGGCTACATAATAAGACCCTGCCTTCAACAACAATAAAACAGAAAAGTGCTCAAGAAACTAAAGTGTAAGAGCACAGAGGGACCAGAGGCCAACTTGAAAGGGTTTTATTAAATGAAGCTGGAATGATTTGTGTAATAAAACAACAGGATAGTGTTTGTGCTGCCTAGTCTATGTCAACGTGACACAAGCTAGAGTTATCTGAAAGGAGGAAACCTCCATGAGATCCAGCTGTAAGGCTTTTTCTTAATCAGTGATCAATGGGGGAGGGCCCAGCCCATTGTGAATGGTGCCATTCCTGAGCAGTGTCCTAGATTCTATAAGAAAGTAGGCTGAGCAAGTCATGAGAAGCAAGCCAGTAAGCAGCATCCCTCCATGGCCTCTGCATCAGCTCCTGCCTCCAGGTTCCTGCCCTGCATGAGTTTCTGTC